ACTGTAATCCCATAAAAAGTTTAAACTAACAAAGAGAGAAAAATAATCTTATACGTCAAAAAAAAAAAAACTCTTTTCCCAGAGATGAAAATAATTTTACAAACAAATAATAAAAATTTTCCCTTTAAACAACTCATCTTTAAAACAATACCTTACAGATCAACATAACCCATCAACAAACTATAAAAAAAGCTTATAAAAATGAGAAAGACTTCACGATGGCAAAGTTCCTCAAACAACTACTATTCATAATAAAATTAAAAACCACAAAAAACCTGTTTTCTTTCCTTTTATATAGAAGTCTCTATAACCTTGACAAAAAAGTCTTCTCTCCCTAAAAAACCAAAAAAAAATTATTTAAAAAGAAATAAACAGACTAAACATTTTAAGTTTATTTTCTTTACATTATCATTAAAAAAAAAATTTGCAAAGCTACATTTTTCTATTAGTTACTTTCTATAAAATTTTTTTTATACCCTTTAAAAGTTTTAAACCTACTTTACCTTTCTCCTAATCGTATCTCACAACAAAATATTAATACCTTAGTAATTAATCAACACTAAAACCCATAACACTCATCAACACAGTAATTTAAAAATCTCAAAATTAAAAAAATATGAAATTAACAAACCAAATCCACTGTTGTAGTGTCCATCCAGCCACATTTCACGTACGAATAGAATCCCCAAAAAACCCAAATGTTTCAAGTTTGATGTAAAGTGTTTATTTTATGTTCTTTTGTATGTCAGAGAAGATTTGGGTTTAAAAAATGAAAATCTGCCTGTGTTAAAAACAAAGAGAAATTGTACTTTAATGGAACCCAAATTTTACCTCAGATGTCTATGATTCCTTTTTTTTATTTTTTCCCCCGGAATGTGAATGAGGTTTTCAACACCAACTGGCCTTTGTGGGAAATGCTGTTGAGTGCCCACAAGAAAAGTTCCTCATTTGAGCGGCTCAGAGCATGGTGAGGTTTCAGCATTTCCTCCTGTCAGGTGGGATCTGAAGGCCCTGAGGTGGCCTTGTCTCCTCAGAGATTTCCTGCCCTGAGGAAGCAAAGGCTGATTGAATGTGCCTGATCCTCTCCTGTCTAATGGGGAGGAGCAGCAAACAGCAGAGCTGGAATCACCTTCTCTGCTCCTGATTTCTCCTGCCAACAGATCTCTTGGCTCTGCCAGGCCCAGAAGTCACTTTTCCTTTGGGATGGATGGCCTGAAGGCACCCAGGTGCTGCAGGGCAGCCCTGCTTCAGAAATCCTTTTGCCTTGGAAGCATCCTTCTACCTAAGAGCTGGATTTGGAAATAGATGTAGTGAGGCCAGGGAGCTAACTCAGAAATGTCAGTAGGATCCCAAAGAAAAAGATCCCCAGAAAAGAGTGCAGTTATTTTTATAACAAAGTTTCTAGCAGAAGTTTCTGGGCTCCAGGTGAACTATGGAATAGTTTAGCAGTGTCAGAAACAGCACATCCACTCTTGGCCAGGAGCTCCCAGCTCTTCCCATGGCACTGGCAGTGGTTTCTGTCAGGATGTTTTACCCAGCAGAAATCCAAGGTGACCACAGGATGTGAAGTTATCTGGCTATAAAGTGAAACTTGCTTTATAGTTCCCATTTAATCTCCTGCTAACCAGGTGCAGCTGCCTTCCTGCCTGTGGCTGCCCTCTCACAACTGGGTCTCAAAGGCTTTGTTACACCACAGGGATCCAGATGCTCATAGAATCTCTAGCACTGCTGTAGAAAACTGAATCTATGCCTTGTAAAAGTGTACCTTAGGTCAGCACTGACAGCTGTACATCAGAAGGTGATTTTTTGTCTGACTGAACCAAAACTTCTTTAGAAAACAGGAGACCTTACATGGGTGAGAACTATTTGTTAGAAATTACAGTTGTTTTCTACTCCAATTCCCATGCCTAACACAGTCACCTTTCCCCCTTTCAGTCCAAGAAGAAATCTCGATGAAAAACTGTGTTTCAAAGTCACTGTCACCCCTGCAGAGAGGCCTGGAGCTTTCCTTACCCCATCCCCAGGGGACTGTGAGCTGCCCTCCCCAGCAGCAGAGGCCACACGTGCCCTCCTCAGTTCAGAAGTCAAAGGTGCCCCTTGACAGAGCACGAGCTCCTAAGGCACTGGGGTAAGGAGTTGTCAGTTCCCAGCCCAGCATCCCATGGTGATGTGAGGGTGAAAAATGCCACGCGTGCTGTGCACTAGCAGCGATCCTCAATCCATCTTTCCAGCGCTCTCCTTGGAGCTGCTCAGGCTCCTGGGGAAGACAGGCCAGCCAAACGTGCTCAGTCTGGCCCTTGCAGGGTGAGGGGCAAGAAGCAAGAATGCAGCGTGGTCTCTTTGACCTTTCCTGTAGCAGGATTTCTGAGAGAGACAGGACACGATTTATATTTGGAGTGAAGGTGGAGCTACCCCAGCCTAGGCCTCAGTCACGGCCTCAGTGAGGCCTTTAAAGCCTCTGGCACAGTTGGAAATTAGTCTGTGCACAGTTAGCAATTATGTTAAGGTGTAAGCAGAGAGCAATGGGCTTTCTGGGTGGGAATTAGTATATATAGGTCTGCAGTGTGAAACTTTAACCACCCTAAGACAAAGACAAACAATGTTTGCTTGCCAAGGAGAGTGTGCTCACAATTGTAAACTATATTCAAGTGTATATAAACGGCCATCTTATAAACAATAAACAGAGAACGTTTGATTAACCCCATTGTTTCGGATCTATGTCTGTCCTGTCTAGCCTGACGATTAATACGAGGTCTCTTGCATTATCTGGCGCCACGAACAAGGGACTCGGAAGACTCCAATGAGTTCCCAAATCACCTTCATGGCAACGGGGGACTGTCTCCAAATCGTGTGAAAGACAGGACCGGGGACACAGATGGCTCTGGATACACGGCTCCGTGCATCCCACTGCTTTCCCTCCTCCAAAAACAGACCTAAATATATATTTTTATTTATATATATATGTGTATGTATATATAAACTTGTAGTTTTTTATGTGTCACTACCCAGCTCTGCTGGCTGGAGCAGCTCCTGGCTCTCTGTGCATGCTCTGCTCTCATAAGGAGAAGAATTTGCCTAAATGTATAAGTTTCCCAAAAGGTGGATGTAAAGTTGTGTGCAGTGATGTCCATCAAATTTAATAGTGCTGCAGTTCCCATTAAATCCCCATAAACAGGAGTATCTGCCATCACTGTGATCCACTGCTGTTCCAACCCACGCTCCCCAAAAACTGCTGCCATCAGAACGGGGCGCTAGGCCAAGTGCTAAACCTCTCTGGGACTGTGGTGCTTCCTAGGCCGGGCAGTTCCCTTGTGCCAGCAGCGGTGGGTAACCACTGTAAGGCTCCATTACCCTCTCAAATAATGAAACACACGAGGCTGTGCTGTGGACGTGGCCTTCAGTGCTCAGCCCTCAGTGGGGAGGGCCCTTTCAGGTGCTGCTCACCACTGAATGGGCTGTGCCAAGCGCAGAGCGAGAGTGGCTCACGCCAACAGAATGAAAGGCTGGGGAAAGAACCCAGAGAATAGACTGCAGCATCCAGACTGGGTCAGAGATAACCAGAGAAGCTCAAGGATGTCTCAAAACTGGAGTCGAGCTCCCACCAGCTTGAAGATGAACTCACACTTTAGGTGGGGAGTTTGAACTGTATCATTTATTAATGGAATCGTCCCATTTTGATAGATGAGAATTACAAGCATCTGTTGAGGGGAAATACACAGAGAACTGTAAAGAGGTATTGGACAGGTATCCTTAAGAACCAAAAAGTAAAGTAGGACAAGAAATAGAGGACAAGACCAGGTTGGCCCCTGTGTTCCCCACTGAGAAGGTTCCATAGCCCTGCTGTGGGCAGCAATCCCATAGGCATGGTAAGGTGGGGGCAAGAAAGCCACACCAGAGCTCTGTCATTCCTCAGCTGCCTTTTAATACAACAGGGACTAGAAGGCAAGGCTGGGTTGGCCCCTGTACTCACCACTGAGATACACCTGCTATGGGCAGCAGCCCCATGGGCACGGCAGATGGGGGTAAAAAAGCCATACCAGACCTCAGTGATCCCATTTGGTCCACTCCAAGTAAGTGTGTCTAAAGAACACCTGAGATGTTTTCCTTCTGTTCCCACTGTCCTACGGTCCTTGCCCATACCAACAGATGCTAGTGTGATTCGTTAAAAATCAGAACTGAAAACAAGAGGTAATTTTTCAAGCCACATGACTCAAAGGAAAGGAAAAGTGTGACTTGTTATAGATGAATGATGTGATGGGTGGCTCTCACAATTAAGAGATAGATATGACGTGTATATTAGGAGAATTTTTGTACATGTATAGTGTTGTTGCTGTAATATGACCTCCCACAGTGCCCTTTCCCCTCCCCCTTGTGACAGCCTCAGCAGCCCAGGGCATTTGGGGAGGGCTGGTTTATAACCAGGAGGGGCGACAGGACAGCACCTGAGCTCCAGTCGAGATATAAGGAAGTGATCTGCACCAGTGCACGGCAGAGAAGGGTTCACTGACACAGCTTTGGGAGGGGCTGAGGGTATAAAAGGCAGAGCACCATTTTGTAAATGGGCACGTGGCTGATAGTCCCAGAGAACCCAGTGCTGTAATTTTTCCTTATTCAGTCACTTGTATTTTTTGTTAAGGTTTAATGAACCTTTAAAATTTTAAAAGTCAGGGTCATTTCTCCCATCTTCCAAGGACCATCCAAAAGTGTCACCTTCAGACCAGTTTGTGATGACTTCCAAGAGCCCAGGGCAATTTGGATTTCCCAGTCAGGTTTGTTGTATAATGTTATAAAAAACAAATGCAGTTATTGGCTTTCCCATTTATGTATTAACTTTTGTTTTGCAAGCTATTACTGATCACAAAAATGCTGATAAAGTACCATTTGTCATTACTCCTTTTGATACAGTATAACCTGTCAGTTTATGTATACACCGTATAGCTTTTATAAATACTGGTGCAATATACACAACCTTAGACCATAGGATATTAGAGACTATGAAATGTTGAAATTATTTTTTTAATGTAACTAACTCAGAAAAAGGTGTAAAATAATTAAGGGAGTTCCCACATTCAGGGACTATTTTATCTGAAAGACAAGATCTTGGAAAGAGAAGACAGAGGGAAAAAAAAAAGAAAAAAGAGGAATTTACAGGCCCTCGTTATCAGGGAATGAAAATGTACAAAATAGAACCACAAGACAAAAAAAAAATCTTAGTTTAATAGACAAGATGGCAGGAAGACACTCTATAGTGTCTAAAGAGAATATAATTTAAGTTCACTCTGTTCAAATAACCAATCATACCAAAGTGGGATTTTATCCCTTTTATCCCTTAATAAAGAAATATAAAAATTTTTAATAGAGAACCGTGTTTCTCACAAATAATGAGGACAATCCACTCACTGCAGGCAGCACCAGTGGCAGGATGTACAGCAGAGACTTTTCCCCTGAGCACCCAGGCCAGCGCTGGCACTGGGGATGAACAGGCACTGAGGTGACCCTGAGAGTCAGTGCAAGGCACAGGGTGCAGCTGAGGAAGGACAGCGCTGTGCTGGGCTCAGAGCTGGAGCTGGCACTGCCCAGCGTGGACAAGGTCCTTTCTGCAGCCCTGTCACAGGGCAGCTTGGGCCTTGCTGCAGACATACGGCCGCTCGTTTGAGCAGTTCTCACTCCTGAATCTGTTCTCAGCCAGGTACGCACACTGGGAACTGCCAAAGACAGGAACCCTGCAGGGAGGAGCAGAGACAGCGCTGGTTCCCAGGTATCTTAGGTTGGAAATAGGGGTATTCTATTCCCATCTCTTAGAGGTGAGGCAGTTCTCTTCTGTTCATTGGGTAGTTTTTCTTTATCTCTTCCACAACCAATCCCCCTCCAGGAGATCTCTTCTGTTCACGGGAAGTGAGTGTCCCTGTATGGCTGATAAAATTCCATCATCCCATGGGGAGTTGCTCCACTCAGAGGGAGAAGCCAAGCACTCCTGCCTGGATATAATCTGACCTGGGAACAGCACAGCAGCCTTTGTCCACTGCATTCCCAGAGGAGCAGCTTTCTTCCCACTGCATTCCCAGAGGAGCAGCTTTCTTCTTCACTGAATTCCCAAAGGAAGACAAGGCCCATCTACACCACCCCTGAACCTTCAGAGGAAAACTCCACTCTTCTCCAGGATCCCTACTGCAGCAGAACCAGAGCTTGTGCTGCAGGAGGGCTGCAGCCAGCCAGGAATGGGACTGCTGCCAGCACCCTGACCCACAGGGTGTCAAGTCGTATTCTGATCCTGTCAGAAGTTTTTTTGTTTGTTTGTACTACTACATTTGTATTTTTCATTTTCCTACTAAAGAACTGTAATTCCTATTCCCATTTCTTTGCCTGAGAGGCCCAAAATTTAAAAATTATAATAATTCATAGGGAGGAGGTTTACATTTTCCATTTCAGAGAAGGCTCCTGCATTCCTTAGCAAAACACCAGGCTTTTCCAGCCAAGACACCAGGGGAACACCTTGTGCCCCTGTCCCCCCAGGCCCTGCCCGGCTCCCCGGCACTCACCTGGAGCTGTAGCTGCTGCCGTCCCCCCAGTGCAGGCGCTCGCCCCGTCTGCGCAGCCCGATCCAGTAATCCACGTTCCCGCGGAGGCGGAAGAGCAAATCCTGCCCAGGAGAGAGGAGTGGGAGCTGCCCCGGCCCCTCGGGGGGACACGGGCCCGGGGCTGCCCCCGCACGCCGGGGCTCCTTCCCTGCAAGGCCCCGGCACAGGGCTGCACCCCCAGCCCTACGAGCACCCAGCCCGGCCCAGGAGCACCCCCAGGCTCCCCTCAGCCACCCCACACCGCCCACAGCCCCTCACTCACCATGGCCTCATCCTTGAGAATGGCCAGCGAGGCCCCGAGCTCGGAGCACCGTTCCTGAGCCTGCTCCCAGCTCCTGTAATCCCTTGACAGGTAGTAGCAGACCCCATTGGACCCAACCCAGCCATGGGGACAGCCCAGAACCAACTGCGCAGTCGCAGGTGTGACTGGAACCTGTGGTGCTGGAGGGGGAAGAGGAGAAGGTCTGGGGATTCCCCTCTGCAGGGAGCAGGGACCCCGCTCTGCCCCGAGGGGCTGGGCCCAGCCTGCTGCCCCTCCCTTACCTGACTGCACAGCCAAGGCCACCCCCAAAGCCAGCACCAGCACCAGGAGCAGCAGAATCAGCACCGCCGTGAGCACAGGATGGGAGCCGAACCATTCACCTGGAGCAGGAAAGAGCTGCTGGCTGCCAGAGCCAGACCCGGCCCTGCAATCTGCTCACCCCGTGCCCAGGGAGCACAGGAGGGACCCCTCAGCCACTGTGCCCCTCACTCAGCTGGCAGCCAGAGAGCCAAGAGCTGGGCACAGGCAGGGACACAGCTGTGGGGACAGCCAGGGACACAGCTGTGGGCACAGGCTGCAGCAGGAGACCTGCACAGCCTTGGGGGCAGCTGGGGCTCTTGGTTCCAGCCACTGCTGGGGCCCAGCAGAGCACGAGGCCTCTTCCAGACATCGGGAAACAGCCACACACCTGCCAGCCCTGGCCTTGGGAGGTGACACTTTCCACTCTCTAGAGGCCACAGGGGTGGGCCTGCACTCACCCGGGAATCTTCTTAGGTTCCTTTTCAGGACATTGCTGATTGCTGTTTTATTCTCCATTGGTGCCTTCTGCAGCTCATGAACAGAGCAGAATTCACTCTCCTCCAGCTCACAGCCCTCAACTCTCTGCCTGGAGCACACAGCACCTTATTCCCGAGCCATCAGGAGTGCTGACAAAGCCTCTCGGAGATCGCCTCGGGAACAGCTTTACACCCTGAAAGGGACACGATGCGAGGTCGCTGCTGGTCCCGGCCCCGCGGCACACCGAGGCTCAGCAGGGCGGTGCCGGCTCTGGCTGCGCTGTCCCCGCTCCCAGAGCTGCGGCAGCAGCTGCGGAGACAAGCGCAGCCTCCGGGAGCTCTGCGCTCCCCGCAGCCCCGGCCCCTGTGGCTCTGCAGCCGCTGCAGCCCAGCTCCGGGCGGCACAGCCGCTCTGCCTCCCTGCCTGTGGACGGCGGAACCCGGCACAAGGAACTCGCCAGAACCCCCCTGGCCCTCAGCGCGGCCCCTCCGCCCGCAGCGAGCCCCGAGCTGGGGCACGACCGACCGCGGGTCCCACCTGGGCCGGAGCCGCCTCCGAGCTCCGCCGCCGCCCCGCCGGGCTCCGCTGCCGCCGCCGCTCCGCAGGGACTCGAACGCGGCGGGTGCGGCACCGACCCCTATTTATGATCGCTCCGTTTGGGGTGGGACGTGATTCTGACTTTTGGCCAAGCAGCCCACGGGGGAAGCGGCAATCACGGTACCGGGAGGAGTCCCGGGATGGAAGTTGGCGAGAGCTGCAGCGCGGGGGAGATTTTGGCAGCGAGACCGAGTTTGATAAATGAGGGGGAACTCCGCACAGCTGAAATAGGGCGCTGGCTGAGCATGAGTCACAATTGGTGAGGGAGCCTGCCAGGGAAGGGACTTTGTTAGTTGTTGTTCGTAAATGGAGATGGGCTGGCGGGAGATGTGCTGGTTGGAGGCCTCCTGTGCCATGGTGATCATGATACGACAGTGTTCTCGATATTTGGTGGTAGCTGGAGGAACATCAATAAAACTTTTACATTAGACTTCTGGAGCGCAGACTTTGACCTAGTTAGGAGACTTAGTCAGAAAGTTCCATGGGAAGCAGCCCTTAAAACCAAAGGAGTCCAGAAAAGGTGGTATGCTTCAAACCAGAGATCTTGAGGGCACAGGAACAGCCTGTCCCTGAGTGCCCAAAGATCAGTCAATGAGGCAAACGTGCAGCCTGCATGGGCAACAAGGTTTTGAAGGAACTTAGGAATAAAAGGAGGATGTATCAGCTTTGGAAGGAGGGTCAGGTTTCTCAGGAAGTATTTAAGGGTGGTGCTAGGATAGGTAGGAAAAAAATTAGGGAGACCAAAGCTCAGTTTGAACTTAATTTGACAACTTTTGTAAAGGATAATAAAGAATGTTTTTACACATGTATTGATGGTAAAAGCAAGGGTAAGACCAGGTCTTGTTCTCTTTTGGATGCAGGAGGAAACTTAGTAACTGCAGGTGATCAGAAGGCAGAGGTGCTCAGTGCCTTCTTTGCCTCAGCCTTTAGTGGGAAGAGGGCTTTTCCTCAGCACAAGTGTCCTCCTGGGCTGGTAGATGGTGTCAGGGAGCAGAATGGGCCCTGTTCTCCAGGGGGAGGCAGTCAGAGAACTGCTGAGAGGATGGATGTTCATAAATCCATGGGCCCAGATGGGATCCACCCCAGGGGGATGTGGGAGCTGGCAGATGAGCTTGGGAAGCCACTCTCCATCATTTACCAGCAGCCCTGGCTCACTGGAGAGGTTCCAGCTGGCTGGAAGCTGCCCAGTATGACACCATTCACAGCAAGGGTGGGAAGGAGGATCCTGGTAATTACAGGGCAGTCAGCCTGGCCTCACTACCCAGTAAGGTCATGGGGCAGTTTGTATGGATTTCACCAGGCAGCACTTACAGGATGGCCAGGGTATCAGACCCAGCCAGCAGGGCTTTAGGAGGGGCAGGGCGTGTTTGACTGGTGGGGAAGATGAAATAGGAAAGCCTTATAAATATGATTGCCTGGCAAAAGATTTGGGAAATACAGAAACTATAAGCAAGATTGAAATGAGAACAAGCTTTGAGATGCCAAACCTTAGATGCTAAACAACTAGAAAACAACAGTATAGCTAGTTGAAGGCAATCCCCCTTTTTGATTGAACAATGCCCTCTACCTACAGGCAGATCCAAGGGTCAAATGGAATGTTCTGTGTCACCCTTCAAAAAAGGTGTATAGTTTATCCCACATCAGTAACCCTGCCCTGAAGCATCAGGTATCTGTGATCCCATTGGCCCAAGTCTTATTCCAGCCCACTCTGGAGCCCCCTGATAAGGTGTACCCGGGGGACCAGACACCCTCTTGGAATCCTCTCCCTCCCCTTCTCTCTGCTCACTTGGACTCACGCCCTGCTCTCTTCCCCCCTCCTCTCTCTCTCTATCTCTGTCTCTCTATCTCTATTTCTGTCTCTCCCTGCCCCCACTCCTTGGGGCCTGCTGTGACCTGCATTTGGCAGCTCCATGCAGGGCCATCACACCCACACCCTTTGCAATAAACCTGATATTCCAAGACCTGACATCAGAGATGTCTCGTCTCCATCCGTCCCGACCCTGCAGGACACCAGTGCTCCCTGCATTGGACCAACCTGGTCTCCTTCCATGAGCAGGTGACCTCCTGGTGGATGCAGGACAGGCTGTGGCTGTGGCTGTTTGGGCTCCAGCAAGGCCTTTGGCCCTGTCTCCCACAGCACTCCTGGAAAAGCTGCAGCCCACGGCTGGGCCAGGAGCGCTCTGTGCTGGGCTCAGAACCGGCTGCATGGCCGGCCCAGAGAGTGCTGGTGAGCGGTGCTGCACCCAGCTGGGGACAGGCACCACTGCTGTCCCCCAGGGCTCTACGCTGGGCCAGCTCTGTTCCCATCTGGGCCCATGGATTTATGAACATCCATCAGCTCAGCAGTTCTCTGGCTGCCTCCCCCTGGAGAACAGGGCACATTCTGCTCCCTGAAACCATCTACCAGCCCAGGAGGACACTTGTGCTGAGGACAAGCCCTCTTCCCACTGAAGGCTGAGGCAAAGAAGGCATTGAGCACCTCTGCCTTCTCCTCACCTGCAGTTACTAAGTTCCCTCCTGCATCCAAAAGAGAACAAGACCTGGTCTTACCCTTGCTTTTACCATCAATACATGTGTAAAAACATTCTTTATTATCCTTTACAAAAGTTGTCAAATTAAGTTCAAACTGAGCTTTGGTCTCCCTAATTTTTTTCCTACCTATCCTAGCACCACCCTTAAATACTTCCTGAGAAACCTGACCCTCCTTCCAAAGCTGATACATCCTCCTTTTATTCCTAAATTCCTTCAAAACCTTGTTGCCCATGCAGGCTGCACGTTTGCCTCATTGACTGATCTTTGGGCACACAGGGACAGGCTGTTCCTGTGCCCTCAAGATCTCTGCTTTGAAGCATACCACCTTTTCTGGACTCCTTTGGTTTTAAGGGCTGATTCCCAAGGAGTTTCTGAATAAGTCTCCCAAATAAGCCAAAGTCTGTTCCTGTCTGCTGCACTCCCCCGGGGCGTCTTTTAATCAGACTGCTACTCAGTGATGGAGGAAGCACTACCCTGCTCCTGCCTGACTCACAGTCCCTTGGCAGAGCTATTTTTTGAGGGTCTCAGTAAAGGCAGCGAGAGATCTCTCACCCATCATGGGCGTAACTGGGGAATGAGACCTGGACTGGGGAAATTAATTTAGTTTATTATCAAACAAATCAGAGCAAGGGAATGAGAAGTGTGCCAAATCCTAAAAAGGCACCTTCCCCACACTGTTCTCTCCTTTCTGGGCTTCTCTTTATCCCCGATTCCCTCCCTCCTCCTCTCACGGTGGCACAGAGGGATGGGGGTGTTTTGGTTAGAAAGGCAGGGGTCTGCTAAGGAAGGCAGAAGGAAGGAAGGCATAATTGTGAAACGAAGGGTGTCTCAGGCAGAGCGCTGAGGACAGAACCACAGCCCTTTCCCAGCGTGCACAGGCTCACGAAGCCGCAGCGCGGCCCGGCCCGAGCAGACACAAACCCGGCCCGGCCCCGCTCGGCCGCGGGGAGTTCCGGGCACGGCCGGCAGGGGCGCTGGCGGGTCCCGCCGGGCGGGCGGAGCCGTGCCTCCTCCCGGTGCAGGGCGGGCCCGGCGGGAGCGGCCCGGCCGAGGCCTCGCCTCGCCTCGCGGGCCCCGCGGCGCCGGCCCGGGGCTCTCCGAGCGCGGGGGGCAGCGAGCGGCGCCGGCAGCGGGCTCGGCAGGGAGGGCCGGGGCTGCGCCGCGCTTCTGTCACCTTCTACTGACACAGCAATGCGGATGTGCTCTAAAAGTTTGAGCTGTGATCAGTCTCGATGAGGAGTGAGAGCTAAGAGATACGAGGTCAGTGCTATTCTATGAAAAGCTCACTTATTTCCTGGGTACAGTATCTGTGAAAAACGCCAATCACTTGGTTTTTATAATTTTAAACGTTTAATAATAATAAAATGGTTATAAAAATAGTAATACAAATAGAGTAATAAAATGTAGAGTTAGGACAATTACAAGACAATAAAAAACAACTAATTACAGAGGTTCGGATGCTCTCAGGCACTTAAGCACTGACAAGCACGCCTTGGGAACAAAGGAGTAACTTGTAAAACAATACACTGCTGTATATTCATATACACTTCATGGTTATGCCTACATTCCATTTGAAACAGGAAACTGTTTGTTACATGTTAACTGCTTCTTTTAATCCCTACGGTGTCTTCGAGTCTGAGCAAGGCTTGAAGAAATTAGCTTCTTCTGATAAGAAAACCATAAATTCTGCTTCCTAGGAAGATTTACGTGTTCTGCGACTGTTATCTTGAAGCGAGTATCTCATTCCTTTAAAAAAACCCTCTACATACATAGTTTATATTTTAACCATTAAAGCTTCATTTTAACTACAAAACTACATTTGCATCCTATTTAAATATTAATGCAGCACAACTAATCAATAGAACATAATACATATAGTAGCTATCTGCATAAAGCCATATAATATACATTTTTCACAGTATCTGATAAATGTTTTTTAGCCTGTTAGCTGAAAACTTTTGCCACACAATACTGCTATTACTTCTAACGCAAATCCCCTGTGTTTTTCCATCATGTGGGCCCGTTTCAGTGCATCTTTCATGCTTCTAATTCTCTAAAATGTCTGGTCTTTTTGTAAGGCCATAT